GACAAGCGGCTCAACTACAATCGGACATCTTTTGTTGGATCCAGGACTCTATATTGAACACTCCCTCGTGGGAATCGGCCCCTGTCTGCATGTTTCTCCTGTTGACGTGCCCTGCAAGTGTAGGTGGCTTGCAAGAAACATCAGGGACGTCTACCCGAGTTGAGGCAGCAAACTGTCTGTCGGGTCAATAACGCTCCCTGTCTAAAGTAATAATGTAACTGGGACGACAAATCCTGCAACTACCTTGGTTGTGTCGGAGAGCCCAAATTGACCAAAATACTGTCTCAATCGACTCTTGATGTCAATTTGGTTGCCACGTGCAACACCTCGGGACGTTTTGATGGCGCGAGAGTTGTACATCAACTAAAGTACGCCATCAATTGACTCGGCAATTGTTTATCATGACAGCCGAAGTTTAGACTCGAACACACGGCTTGTTTTCCCATATAATGCCTTCCTCTAGCTTGTTTAATTCCACTGTGTATAGATAGGCGAAGAAAACATTAACCCAGCTCTTGCATGTTTGATCAAATTAGAGTTCCCTTAGCATCCATAATGAAACCAAGTCCGTATCGCTCATAAGCCCTAGATGAGGATATTAATATAATAATAGTATCTGATAAACGAGAGTTTTCCATTTTTAATTTTAGGACATTGTAAAAGAGTTCTTTTTTGTACAGTCGTAATACTTTCTATGTGTAAAGACAAATATGTATCAATATATTTAAAGTTTTTTACAAAACATACAATAGAGTCCACAGTTTAATAAATAAAAAAAAATTCAATTATTTTTTTTATAAATCTGGATTTAATACAAAAATAACGTAATTGCGAGTATGATTAGGATTTCTTTTGAAAAGAAACTTCCCAGATCCAGCTCAACTCGTTCTCAATCTATAACCATATATAAATACATATATCACCTCTGACGGCGAGCTGGATCTGTGCGGTAAGTATATTTGACAGCCTGTCTCCCCTCAATCCATAACGAGCGGGAAAGTGCAGACACTTGTAGCCAGAAGATCCTTATTCTAATTGAGCGGTATAGACAGTAAAGGATGCTGATATGACCCCTCCGACGCTCAAGGCAGTTTGTCACATCATTAAGGGACGATGGCAGTGACGACGGCCATCCTCGACATGGAAGCCTGCGAAGCCATGCACTGCTGCTATTACAGGACTCCTAGATTCTTGAAAATACATGTAACCACACGGTCGGTCGTTTTCAAAGAACACTTGCTTAAATAATGGTTAAAACATCTTATCATCTATTTATTTTGTTCCGTATATTCTTGGGGTTTGAATAGTGGTTGCATGGTGAAAACCTATTAACCGTGAAGCATGCATGTTTCTGGGGCTAACTCTAGAATCAGTTGAAGACAGAGCCATGAAACTTTGCATGCACATCATTCAAATGCTTAAGTGGTTACTGAAACTCTTGAAGATCTTTAAGAACATAATTGTGCAGTGTGTGCGAATTACATATACAGTAAACTACGTTTATACCGAACACGCTTATAACGAACTGACTTATATAACGAACTTATTTTTTTAGTCCCGACCATTTGTTGCAAAAATGCTGTATATATGTTTATAACGAACTACGGTTATTACGAACTTAAATTAGTGGTCCCTTCGAGTTCGTTATAACCGTAGTTTACTGTACTTTGTTGAATGAGTGAGCGGTGTTGTTTTCTTGTATGTAAGCTCCAGGAAAAAAACGTCATGCAAGTCTCTACAACACCAGTCACACCACACTTCCCATGTATAATATACCACGTGATATGGTTTTGTCAACGATTGGATGCCCACGGTGCTTTGAAGAAAGACCGAAACATTCTAACAATATAATTATATTACTTGGCATGTATATCATCTGGTCCTAAAACGGAGCAAGGTTTGTTTGACGTCTAGGTCAAGGTCAAAGTGTACAGAGGTCACTTACAAAGTACAGTGAAGATATTTATAATCTAATTTCCTATTTTACAGCAGAGCATACTCAGCATAGGTGACCCACTTGTCTAAAACGCCCAAAAGGTGATTTGTATAATCGCGTCCCTTGGTAGTACCAGCATCAAATGATCGTGAGTTCGAATCCCAGATTCATCCCCGTTATGTTTCTAGGTTTGCCAGCACCATACCCGTGATCGTGGGTTTTACAAATGTGGTAAACGTCTAGTACCTGCATCACTTCGGGTTTTCATCCCACCTTAAACTGACCCGCCTTGATATACCTGGAACACTGTTCAAAGCGGCGTTAAACCCTAATATTGGTGACTGTGTGGTAGCCTAGTGGTTAAAGCGTTTGCTCGTCACGCCGAAGGCCCACCTTAGATTCACAATGTGTGGAGCCACAATCGGGTGTCCCCGCCGTGACATAGCTGTAACATTGCTAAAAGCGGCGTAAAACCCACTCACTCACCCACTCACTCACCCACTCACTCACCCACCCACTCACTCACCCACGCATTCACCCACTCATTCACCCACCCACTCACTCACAGATAGCGATTTTTTAGTTTACCGTATAGGTGAATGAGTGACGATGGTTTTACGCCGCTTTTAGCAATATTCCAGCAATATCACGGCGGGGGACACCAGAAATGGGCTTCACACATTGTACCCATGTCGGGAATCGAACCCGGGTCTTCGGCGTGACGAGCGAACGCTTTAACCACTAGGCCGCCCCATCGTATAGGTGAACTCGGATCAGTTAGGTTTCAATGACGAACAAACAGGCACGCAGAGGCAGAGCTCCAGTTAATTAATATAAGCACATGTTGCTTAGGGTGAACAATTCCTCCTGACATATCCCATCATTAAATTAATTATTATACCTTTAAGATGAGATTGTCTGATTCCCCTGAATAAAACAATATCAATATCGAAACTTGTATAGAAATATCTAAGTAATTCCAATGCCCATACGCTTGGCGGCCTAATGAATAATTTGCAAAATTCCCATAGTGAAAACCACGAGGCAATAACGCTGATACAACGATCGAGTCCGGGGTCCTATAAATCACAACACACTATCTAATCTGCCATGAAGCGCTGATCTACACGCATGACGTAAGTTATTGGTCAATAAAGTGCTGCTGTCTACGTGGTTGCGGTGAAGAGTCCTCTATAACGATATCATTTGATACTATTGTCTGGATCAGCACATGGACTGAGAGAAACTACCCTGCATTGCTCACGAAGTTTGAGACCCTTTTTACAAATGTATTACTTTTCTATTACGTTAACGGCAAAATACATGGCGGTGGTGGATTCAAGGGGAATTCAGGGGCTTAACTCGACCTGCCCTCCTTTTGAAATAATAACATAGGGACCCCAATGACCCACAAGCTCCTATGCCTAATTATATATATCAACATGCTCGTGTATACTGTAAAACACACACACACACACACACACACACACACACACACACACACACACACACACACACACACACACACTCTACACCACACACTCTACACCACACACACACTACACCACACACACACTACACCACACACACACTACACCACACACACACTCTACACCACACACACACTACACCACACACACACACACACACTCTCTCTCTCTCTACACCACACACACACTCTACACCACACACACACTCTACACCACACACACACTCTACACCACACACATACATCATCCAACTGTGAGGAGGGCACGGGTGGCCCAGTCGTCTAAGGTGCCACGATTCGCTGTGCAGAGTTGCGCTAGTAACCTATGATTGTGTGTTCGAATCCTGGTTCGCCCCGATTATGTTTCTAGGTTTGTCAGCACCGTACTCGTGGGTTTCACCGAAGTGGTAAACGTCTGAGACCTGCATCACTTCTGGCTTCCCTCGCACATTAAATGTAATACTGTTAAAAGCTGCATTAAACCCAACTCACCCAACTGTGAAGGTTTAAATTAAAAATGAGAAGCCATTTCCTACCCTAAATAAAATATTCACCCAATTTAAAAACACTTGGCTCCGCTTCTAGATATCTGTCTTCAACATGTAGTACAACTGTGCTGATCTAACGCATAGCATCAATGCTTTTGTGAACACATTCTTTATTACATTCTGTCTTTATCAAAGCCGCAGAAAAAAGCAATACTGCTACAGATATTAACAACGATTCCAATAACAACAAGCATTCAATAATCATATCCCCGCCAACAGGACATATCCGGTTGTGTGTAAGGCATCAGTCCCTAAATCAAAATATTTGCTATGGAAACTCGAAAAATATTTATTTCAAAATCCCAAACTATCAAAAAGTACCAGTTTACCACTAGACCTATCTATGTGCCAAGTTTGGTGAAGAAATATTGTACGGTTTCATAGATCTGCTCCGAAAAGGAGCTCTACCGACATTATCAGGGGAATTCAAAGCCGTTACCATGGAAACTCGAAAAATATTTTTTTCAAAAATCCCAAACTATGAAAAGGCACCAGGTCAAATTGTAGTTTTCCTCGGGTAAAAATGTTAATAACGATGCATTATTATTATTATTATTATTATTATTATTATTATTATTATTATTTAAACCAAGTCATTCATGTCAAGTTCATAAATATTATTGCGTCTTGAAATTGGCGCGAGACTACATATCATTATGATTATTATTTCATAACATATTGAAACAATGTCTAAATTTCTTGTAAAAAATCATAAATCAAAGAATACATCTTATGCATAGAGGCGGACAATGCATATGTGTTCAATATTTTGTTTTTAAATCCAACACATGATGTACGATCATTTGAGGAACTCAAGATCACTGTCTGCAAAAGACTTTAAACATATGAGAACACGTGATTTCATTCAAAATTGAAAGCAAATATTATCTGTTTCCTAATTTCCGTTCTAAAACTATCCAGACTTTGTGAAATACAACATGATTAAAAATCCAAGTTTTTGAATTTCGCGGGTAGTCTACCCAATCGTAAACCGGAAGTATGAATCATAAGGGGCCCGGATGGTGCATTAGTATAGCCAATATGGCGACTCTTGTGTGAATTTACCAGGTGAAACGGAGGAAAATATTGAATGGAGATGCTGTCGTTTGTTTACAGCTAGTGTAGGCGACATTTCATATCTAGGAGATACATTTACTGGAGGAGTGTGAATTCTGCTAAGGAAAATGACGACGGATAAGGTTAAAGTCGCTGTTAGGGTTCGCCCTATGAATAAGCGAGGTAAGAACAGGCGGCGATCATTATGAAAATTTCAGTAAGCACATCACGAATAAGAATTTTACGTTTTTGGACTTTTTAGTTAAATATGTTGTAACATGTACTTTGTTGTACATTTAATTCAGAGCTGGATATGACAACGCAGATCGTGGTGGATATGGAGAGAGATCAGACGATTCTACGTCCATTCAAAGACAGGTAGGATGCTGCCTGTCACATCATCTGATTGTGTAATAACGTCACAGCACACGCTTCAAAAGCAGTCCCTTTACGAAATAGTGTTACAACTTCGATAAAACAATACACATTAATTCAAACTTCCCACGTACATTTTATTTCTACTGCATGTTAAAAAAGCGTTAGTCCACATGGATTGTTTATTCGGTACCATGGTCATGTTATGCCACGCCCCCACAGGCGAAGGCATAAATTGATGTATGTTTTATTACGCCATAAGCAACGTAATTATTTAATTAGGCTAATTGTAGACAACCATTAAACACCACCATAGTTTTATTGCCTACCCGATGACTGACTGTTATCTCCCTCTGAGCAGATGATAAGGGACAGGTGAGAATAACAGTGTATTGTGACTTGGCAGGGTACTGTCCAAGTTGCATCTCGTTACATATTAATCCTCTGTTATGTAGCATTATACCATTTAGTAAATGGGGATTTGTACCTTATTCACATAAGATTAGCACATGATCAGGTGAGGTTTGTTTTGAGAGTATACTAATCTGAAGATGATGTAAGTTACCTTTGCTTCGGCAAGGTAGACGTTCAGTGTGGACACAAAATGTGTGTTTCTGTTCATTGTCTATTGTGCCGAGTTTTACGTAACAACAGCCTTTATTAATGTCCAGTTACTTCCTTAGTCATTATTGTTCCCTATTGGTGTGTTTGTAAGTTCTGTTTTGCTGATAATAATCAAACATTAGGTTGTTGATTAGTTGCAGTGTACATCTAAATCCAGATTACCTTTTACTGTCATTCTATTTAACCCCATCCAACCCCTAACCCCAAAATGCTTGTGGGGGTAATAACCCCACTGACCAATCATTATTTTACTTTCTTTCCTGCCCTGACACTTTTGTCAGATCATTATCAAAGAGAAAATTAATCAATACTTCAAAATGTGAAATATTAATTAAAATATTGTGATGTTAACCTACCCACAGAACCATATCTGTTTTTACCTGCACCAAAAATATTTTGTGGTCTTGTTACTGATATTATGAATGCCTAAATATCAGTCATGTCATGTTAATTTATTTTTTTTAAATCATTTCTTCCTCAATCTTGATATTTGATAATTGATGCAATGGTGCTAGAGTAGTAAAACACAGGTTTGAGAGAACTTTGGGAAGATGATTGATAATTCCTGCAGGACGATATGGTTTTCATTAAGGTTATGTTGCCCTGAACACACCTTGCATTGTAAATCAATTATGTTGATTGGTGGTACTTGTGCCATTGTTATGACTCCACTGCTCCAGTCTCCATTGATTTGTAGTGCTGGTTTGATGCATACAACTCAATGGTGATGTAACCAAGACTACCTGTTATACTAGATCCTACATGCCGAATGAAAGCTATAGCACTTTCTCCGATTTCTCCAATTTCTTCTCGATGCTAATAATCTCTGCTATGTTAATGCAGGAATCTTATGTTGATGCATACATCATACCAGGGGTTATTGAGTGCATCTGTGGAAGCTCTGGAGGAGAGATGGATTGAATTAGTACCTGATTTCCATAAGCATTGTTTATTTTGTCTTCGCTAAGCTGTGTAATACTTTCCTTATTATGATTGAAAACACTGGCGAAGAGTAATGTTCGCAAATTTATTGGTCTGGGACTTTCTTCTGAATAGTAATTACTGTATGATAGAGAATAACAACATTGTTAAATGTCATCTCCATCACAACCCCACAGATTCAACTGTAGCCATCTAAAACAATTCTGCGTCTCTTCCTGGAAGTAGGCTTAGACTGTGAGTTAATTGAGTGCACCAGTACCTCGATTTGCTGATCTTCATATCAAAGCATATTACGAAAGAACAGTATTTTAAATGTCAGAACTCTGATCTATCGCATGTCATATTGTTTCTCTATGTCCTATGTTCCAGTGGTAGAGCAGTGGTAGAAGTTCGGGGTTCGATCCCCGGACGCATCATACCAAAAGATGTTAAAAGATTGTACATGCTGATACCCTGCCTTGCACGCAGCATTAAGGGGCTAAAACAGGACTGGTCGGCTTGGAGTCATTATTCTGTGTCTGAGTGGGGTATTCATGTTAAATTGCAGCTGGGTATCTCAGTGGGCTAGCACTTTCAAATCGGGACTAGTCCGGGCTAGTACAAGCAGCCACAGACACACACACAGACAGACACGCACGCACGCACACACAGAGAAGATACTTGTCTGAATATGGTTAATCAAATCAGGTATTCATATGTTTGGTTGTGATTTCATGACATAAATTCACATACTGACATACCAAGATGCCAGCTCTTGAAGTGAAGTCTGGTAACAGTTAGATGCTGAGGTGAGTTCTATAATGGGAATAAACATCCCTGACAGTTAGGTATTCAAATTTCTTCTACAAATATAACTGAATTATGGAAGCACTGATTTGCTAGAGCCAAAATCTGTTGGAACATTTGAGATTTTTTTTTGTGATGTTATAAATATTTGATAGAAGCTATTTGTATATCATTTCATTTTGACAAGAATGCTTTTGACTTTTTGAATAACAATCAGTTGGTGTCCTGGGGTATGGAGCTTCCTGAAACTCTGTGGAAGATTTTCCTTTTTTGAATATGTATTCTGTGATTTACACAGACGCAAAGGTTCTACTGTTGAATCATGTCAGCTGACACTGAAAACTTTGCTTTACCCCTTACCAATCCTTTGCATAACTCTGTGACCTGGAGGCGGTCTGTAAATAATTGAGTCTGGACCAGACAATACAGTGATTGACAATATGAGCATCAATCAACACATCGGCATACATGCATCAACTATGTCAGCGAGCCTGACCACCCGATCTCGTTAGTCACCTCTTTTGTCAAGCATAGTCGCCCCTCATGGCAAGCATGGGTTGCTGAAGATCTATTCTAACCCAGATCTTCACGAGTATACCCCTCATATTGCACAAGTCTGCGAGCCTGACCACCCGATCTCGTTAGTCACCTCTTTTGACAAGCATAGTCGCCTCTCATCGCAAGCATGGGTTGCTGAAGACCTATTCTAACCCGGATCTTCATGGGTGTGAGACTGAAGAGCATTTTCAGCTTAGCAGGATCATCAGAACAAGGTCGGAGAGGATATTTCTCCCTGTTAATCCTTTAAGAAGGATGCGTGAATGGAAATCGTGTTCATATTCTTTTTTAAATTATTTTTTTTATTACTGTTTTGGACAATGGCTATCAATTTGTTGCTACCCTCCCAGTGCCACATTGTTGGATGTAGACTCCCTTAGTGTCTGTTGCAAGTAGTCTGTGAGTGACGCAGGTGCTGTAGATGTCCATGAGGATGGGGAGAGGAGTACAGAATGTGAAGCGATCCTTTCTTGTTTATGTTCACACAGAGATCTTGTAAACACCTATATTGAAAAACTTTTCTGTACGTGTAGCCATGTTGTTTTGTTTTCTGTGGAAATGAATCATGTATTTCTCTTTCCTGCATATTCCAAATGTGTTATAGGACAACATGACAGATTCTCAGCCAATACTTTCCACATTTAGACATGATAGGTTTCAGTTCAGAGTATTGACACAACTCTATCTTTTCTTATGAAATGTTTCAAATGGTGCAGTAATTTTATAAGAGTAATGTTGTGGTGAAATGGTCTGACACATATCTTGTTACAAGTAAGATAAAAAGGCAACCCGTCCAAACAGGCATTTGAAAATTTGTCATATATGTATATATAAATACAATATTGTGACAATTACATAAAATGTAGAGGATGCTGTGTGTGGGATGTAGGGGATGCTGTGTGTGGGATGTAGGGGGTGCTGTCTGTGGGATGTAGGGGGTGCTGTCTGTGGGATGTAGGGGATGCTGTCTGTGGGATGTAGGGGATGCTGTCTGTGGGATGTAGGGGGTGCTGTCTGTGGGATGTAGGGGATGCTGTCTGTGGGATGTAGGGGGTGCTGTCTGTGGGATGTAGGGGGTGCTGTCTGTGGGATGTAGGGGGTGCTGTCTGTGGGATGTAGGGGGTGCTGTCTGTGGGATGTAGGGGGTGCTGTCTGTGGGATGTAGGGGGTGCTGTCTGTGGGATGTAGGGGATGCTGTCTGTGGGATGTAGGGGGTGCTGTCTGTGGGATGTAGGGGGTGCTGTCTGGGATGTAGGGGGTGCTGTCTGTGGAATGTAGGGGATGCTGTCTGTGGGATGTAGGGGATGCTGTCTGTGGGATGTAGGGGGTGCTGTCTGTGTGATGTAGGGGAAGCTGTCTGTGGGATGTAGGGGGTGCTGTCTGTGGGATGTAGGGGGTGCTGTCTGTGTGATGTAGGGGATGCTGTCTGTGTGATGTAGGGGATGCTGTCTGTGTGATGTAGGGGATGCTGTCTGTGTGATGTAGGGGGTGCTGTCTGTGTGATGTAGGGGAAGCTGTCTGTGGGATGTAGGGGGTGCTGTCTGTGGGATGTAGGGGGTGCTGTCTGTGTGATGTAGGGGATGCTGTCTGTGTGATGTAGGGGGTGCTGTCTGTGTGATGTAGGGGGTGCTGTCTGGGGGATGTAGGGGGTGCTGTCTGTGTGATGTAGGGGGTGCTGTCTGTGTGATGTAGGGGGTGCTGTCTGGGGGATGTAGGGGTGCTGTCTGTGTGATGTAGGGGATGCTGTCTGGGGGATGTAGGGGGTGCTGTCTGGGGGATGTAGGGGGTGCTGTCTGTGTGATGTAGGGGATGCTGTCTGTGTGATGTAGGGGGTGCTGTCTGTGGGATGTAGGGGTGCTGTCTGTGGGATGTAGGGGTGCTGTCTGTGGGATGTAGGGGTGCTGTCTGTGTGATGTAGGGGTGCTGTCTGTGTGATGTAGGGGATGCTGTCTGTGTGATGTAGGGGGTGCTGTCTGTGTGATGTAGGGGGTGCTGTCTGGGGGATGTAGGGGTGCTGTCTGTGTGATGTAGGGGATGCTGTCTGTGGGATGTAGGGGGTGCTGTCTGTGTGATGTAGGGGTGCTGTCTGTGGG